TTTCCACTGCTCATCCATGTGGCTGGGATTTAGCAGAAGTTTTATGAATTGAAACCAACTGCTATGGCCTGGAGTGTGTAAACCCTGAGCTTACTCTGACGAACCAATATGGACAGTCCTCTTACCTTTAGAACAGTCTGTGGATCAAACTTTGGCAAAAGATGGACAAATGTGCATGCTCCCAGTGACCAAGGTTCCAGAAACGAGGCTAAAATGTTCACTATCCAACCTGTGTCTGAGATGGTCCATATTGTGTCAGAGACATCCAGGCCTGTCCAGGTGCTAGGAACACAGAACATACAGAGCTGAGTGCACACTGAAGGGCATGGTGCTTGAGGGGCTGTGTGGGGAAGGGTGAGGCGTGGGCATGCAGCATGTGTGGAAAGGTGGCAGTGCTTTAGAAAGTGTGACCCCAGAAGACACAATTTAGCGGATAACTGGGTTGTGCTCTCACTTTATTCCCAGTACTAGGACAGTGACTGACAAGTGAAACCATCCAGGAAAAGCTTACTAACAGAAGGCATCAAAGTAAATAACCGTGTGTGTGTGTGTGTGTGTGTGTGTGTGTGTGTGTGTGTGTGCAAGCATACGCATGTATGGAGTGTGCAGATGCCTTTATCTATTAATCTCCACCTTAGTGCAAATCAGACCTGACTTCAGGACAGTTGTCATAAATCTATAGAGGGAAAAGGCTCAGCTTACCCAGCGTCCATCTTGCCCTTGATGCCCAGGCTGGAATGGGAGTGTTCTACCATCTTGGGAGGGCCACTGGTCCCACTAGTGAAGTAGATGGCAGCCGATTCATGGCTTCCAGTTTCCACACAGTGATGAGTGGTGGATGCATCCCTACAAGGACCAGAAAGTCAATGTCTCAGATCTAGCCTGGATACTGATGATTCTGTGACTCATCTTCCCTCACCAGCCCTCAAGTAGATGAGGGCAAGTCAGATGACCTGTTTCTGAACGGCAGCTGTTGAGTGTAAAATTCATGCATTTCTGAGAGAGTCAGGGTTAGCATTTTGTTAACTATGTAAGTTTGTACAAGTTACTTAACTTCTGTGGTCTCACTTTCCATATCTGTGAAATGGGGACAAAAAACCCAACCTACCTCAGAGTTTAGTGAGAAAGTTAACTCTAGAACAAAGAAATACTTATTCGGGACTTATTCAGTTGTGGTTGGCCCCAGCATAATACCAGGAGCACAGAAGTTGAGCAGTTTGTTTTCAAAGTGATGAAAAAAATTATTTTTATTTTGTGTGTATGAGTGTTTTGTCTGCATATATGTATATGCACAATGTGCCTATGTTTCCTGTGGAGGCCAGACAAGGACACTGGATCCCCTGGAACTAGAGTTATTGACAGTTGTAAGCTGCCATGTAGGTGCTGGGAATCAAACCGAAGACCTCTGGAAGAGCAGCCAATCTCTCCAGCACCCCACATGGTTTCTTGACACCCCCTTTTTTCCCCCTCTGGAATAACCCACAGATCTCTTAGAGTCTTGAATTTGAATCTCTCAAAGCTGGTATTTTATTGTTTATTTTTATGGAAATTATTTTAAAGATCATGGCAGTAGAAACGAAAAACAACAGCAAAACCTTATGTTCTCCCTAGATGTTTCCTAAGGCATACACCTCTTGTGGAAGGATTTTAAACAGGGGGCAGAACCCCATTTATCCAGCCAGTCTTGTTGTGAAATTCCAGAAGGGCCACTATTCTGGAAGGAAGTGGGTCCTAGGGATATAGAATGTGGGAAGAAGAGCCTGGAAGTCAGTATACTCATATCTCTTAGATGCTGCCTCACGCTTCATCAATGGCTGTGATGAGTAATTCTGGATGCCTTTCAGATGCCCATTCAAATCAATAGCATGTTGTTGCTTCTAGCATGTGCACATGATTCATCTTAATGCCAGGATGTGTGTGTGTGTGTGTGTGTGTGTGTGTGTGTGTTTGTAGGTGCCTGCCTGTGTATGTACGCATTTATATGTGCCTATGTGGTGTGTGTATGTATATATGCATGTGTGCCTATGTAGTGTGTGTATGTGTGTATGCATGTATATATTATGTATATGTGCCTTGTAGTATGTGTGTGTGGTGTGTATGTGTTGTATTCATGTGAGTATGTAATAAGCACACACCTGTGTGTGAACATTCAGAAACCAAAGCAGGGTGTCCGGTGTCTCTCTTTATTGCTTTCCATGATATTTCCTTGAGACAGATTCTCCCAGTGAACCAGAATCTTAGCTTTTTGACTAGGCTAGGCTGGCCTGTGAACTCTTGGGATCTGCTTGTCTTTTATCTCCTAATGCTAGAGTTACAGGCATGTGCAGCCCTGTTGGCATTTTACATGGGTTATGGGGATTTGAACTCAGGTCCTCATACTTGTACAGCAAATGCTCTTACCCAGTGAGCCATGTTCTCAGTCTCCCAGGCTTTTTCCTTTTTTTTTAATGCTACCATGGCATGGGACTCTGGGCCTGCAAGTGTAAAAGCCCAGGAGTGTGTGGTAGATAATGCCCCTTACAACCATCAACAAATGAAGATGAACGTTTTTGTTAGTCCTTTGTTAGAAAATTCTGGGGGCATTCTGTGTGCTTCTCAGAAGGTTTATGCATACCGAGCCCCACCCGCCTTTGGAATGAGTCCACCTTAAACACACTTGCATTTGCTTTCCTTTCCTTACGGTCTCACTCTCCTTCGTCTTGATTTCCACTTTGGATGGAAACCTGGCTAAGGCGGGAGAGACTCACTTGAGCAACGCCTTGAAGTTGAGCCATCCTTCTCTCCTTTTTTCAGACACCAGCAACTTGACCTTCAGAAAAGGGCACTCGGGGGCCACAGCATCCACTTCTTGGGCCACTTCATCCCCGGCCACAATGGCCCTGGCCTTGGATGTCTGCAGCCTGTAGAGTATGTCTGAGGACTTCATCTGGATGGTTCCAGGCATGAAAACGATGCCTGGAGAAGACATCGTTTAAAGGGTTTAAAGGAAGCTAGGAAGGGAGTTGTCTTTTTCCCCAGAGAAGAGCTGTGAACAGCTATGGGGGCCAACAGGGAAGGGTAGGTGGGATGTGAGGACCAATAGGGAGCAAGGACAGCGTGTTCTGTGGGGAGGTCTTTGGGGAGAGGAAGCTGAAGTTCTCCGCCCCACGTTTCCTTTCCAAGCAGAAGTGCCAAGCCTGTGCGGGCGGTTACTAACCAGTCCGAAAGCAGCCCAGGGTCACCAGCCACCACTCCGGGACTTGGGGAAGTACCACTGCCACACGGTCCCCACGTTGCAGGCCACAGGCCCCCGAGAGGACATTGGCTGCCTGTTGGCTGATGTCACTCAGTTCTCTGAAGTTCCACTTTACTTCTTGCCCACTACCACTCACCCACCACAGGGCTGGACGTGGAGGTCGCTTGCCAGCCTGAAAAGAGAGATGGCCTAGCGATCAGAAGACCCATGGGGACACAGCAAATAAAACAAATTGCAAGTCTTGTTGATCCGAGGACATCCACACACTATTAAAAAGGGTTGAAAACCTTCAAATATTTGTTTTAAATGAGGGTTAGATCTATCAATACTATATTAAAACAGAGGCTTTTAATATACATGCTTCAAAAAATAACAGTTAAAACATATTCTATATTACCATGATAGATAATTTTGATTGCTAGCAGGATTGGCTTGAAGATGCCTAAGAGATGAGCGAAGTGCACCTCTGAGGTATGACTGTGCGATTCCAGAGATGACTGGCTAGTGTGGGCTCTGATATAATTAATGACCTAGTGGCTCATAATATGGCATTGGGGGATGGGGAAAGCAAGAAATGGGTCCTGGGTAGAGGAAGTGAGTTGGGAGACATCCTTGGGGTTGGATCTTTCCCCGGACCTTTTCACTGTCAAAAGTTTCATTATTTCCACCTTGATTATTATTACTTTTCATTTTGCTGTTTATTTCCTTTTGTTTATTTAACTATTTCTTTCATGTATTCCAAATTGAGAATTGAGGCAGTAAGACCTTTTCTCAGTATTCCAAGGAGGAATAAGTAAACAAACAAACAAAAAAATTAAGAAGCTAGCTGAGGAGACCATTGAACCAATGAAGGGCTTGCCATGGAAACTTTAGGACCTGAGTTCCACCCCCAGAACATACATTAACCAAAAGTCAGTCATGGTGATGCACAGTGGTCATTCATGCACTGGGGAGGTGGAGTCAGGTAGATGCCTGAGGCTTGCTGTCCAGTCAGTCCAGTGTACTTGATGAGCTCCTGGTCAGTGAAAGACCCCGTTGTAGCACAAATCCTAATTGGTCTTAATAATAAAAACCCAGAGTCAGATAGAGGGGTAAACACTAAGATCAGAGAGACAGAGGAGCAAGCCTCAGCCACTTCTTACCTCTACCAAATCCTCAGACCCAAAAGGGGCTGTGTAGTGGGTAGCCATTCCAGCTTTGGTCTGGAAGTTCCAATCCCCATTGAGGCGTTGGTAACTATCACGTCTACAAGGCGGGGCCAAGGGAGGGCCCTGAAGACCCGAGATCAGGATGCTCCACGCTCTCTTGCTGCTGGGAGCCCGGACGCCAGAAGTGGACTGAGGAGAGTTCTCCATAGAACATCGCTGGACTGCGCTGCATCTTTTCCAGAACCCTCAACTTGCCTATCCCTTCATTTGTAAGTTATGCCATTAAATAAATCTCCTTTTAACTACATGGAGTGGCCTTAATAATTTCACCAATAGGGCTGAGCTCCCATCTCTTCCCACCTTACATTCCTCTTTCTGCCCAGCCATATCACTTCCTGCCTCCACCTCCCTAGTGCTGAGATTAAAGGTGTGTGCCACCACTACCTGGCTCTGTTTCTCTTTTAGACCGGATCAATCTTGTGTAGCCCAAGTTGTCCTTGAACTCACAGAGATCCTGCTGCCTCTGCCTCCCAAGTGCTGAGTGCTGGGATTAAAGGTGTGTACCACCACTGCCTGGTTTCTATGGCTAACCAGTAGCTTAGCTCCATACTTTGATCTTCAGGCAAGCTTTATTTGTTAGACCACAAACAAAATATTACCACATTTCTGTAGTGCTATGTTGTGTACCCTAACTAAACTTGCATGGGGATTGGAGGACAGAGCCAGCCACTAGATTAGACATAGAGGCCAGACAACGGTGGCACACACCCTTAATCTTATCACTCAGGAGGCAGAGATCTGTCTAGATCTCTGTGAGTTCAAGGCCACACTAGAAACAGAGCCAGGCAGTAGTGGCACACACCTTTATTCCCAGTACTGTGAAGCACACATGCCTTTAATCCCAGAAAGTGACATGGCTGGGTAAAGAAAGGTATGTAAGGCGTGAGGAAACAGGAACTAAAGCAGTTCAGCTGAGACCCATTTGGGTGAGGACTTAGAGGATTTCAGTCAGAAGATTCATGGAGTTGGCAGGTGAGGTTGGCTGTGGCTTGCTCTACTTCTCTAATCTTTCAGCTTTCACCTCAAATTCTGGCTCTGGATTTTTTATTAAAAGAACATTTAACCTTTGAACAACACATTCCCCCTTTTTTGTCTAAAAATAAAAAAGAATGTTATAACTAATATAAGAAAAAAACTATATACAAGAAGTATAATAACTAAATACAATATATGTACAGGCAATAAATATATCAACAGTGTCTAGTCCATTAATAATTGATGAATTCAGAGAAAATACCCCATATCTCTCCTATCTTGGTGAGTGCAAAAGGTTGTACCTAATTCACTTTCTATTCTAATTTTCATTACCAAAATTATCTTTTACTGTCTCTTATACAGTTTATACCTCTTTAGTGAATTCCTTTTCTGAATCTGGTAACAAGGAAAACTATAACTATAAAGTCTTCAGCTCAATCAGAGACCCTAGAAAGGAAATAATATCATGTAAGTAAGCAGGAAGTGCCATCAAGCCACTTCCAAAAAACTGTAAGAAATGAGAGAAATAGCTGACTGCCTGGACCAGGCACTCAAGATTCCTTTGCAACGTTGGGGCATCCATCTTCAGCCACCAGGCCTAACATATCTGACAGACTTTTCTGTGAAGCAGGATTTTCTTAAGGGATGTCCTATCTTGTTTTGGCAAAGTTCAGCAGTCACTTCCTTTTGTGTCCTGCTTGTCCAATTTGGACAGCATACTGTCAGCAGTTAGGCAAGGGCAGTTTCTTGCCTAGTGGCTTACTTTTGCCAGGAAGAAAGTGAACTCCATATGGATTTTCTTTGATGCCCATCATCTTTTCTGAAGTAGATTGGTGTTGCCAGGAGAACCTATGTTATTAAAACATCTTAAATGCCATATTCTGGAGATCTCTGAAATGTTTGAAGATGACCTATCTATCTAAAATATACATCTGTTTCACCTTGAAAACATACCTAGCATGACTACAAGTTTAATTGTAATAGGTGACTAACCACTAACCTGCATTTCTTTATTATCCTAAATAGATTGTAATTATAATTTTCAAGGACTAGCAATTTGCATTACCTTGTTAAAGGAGATTGTAATTGAGGACCAGCGTCCAAGACTGCTGTAACAAAGTCTTTCCAGTCTTGAGGGATAATTCTATTACAAGTTGACCATGAGTTTAACATCTGCTTCACAAAAGGTGAATGCATACCATATGACACTATTGCTTCCTTGAATCTCCTCAAATCTAACATTTGCACAGCGGTCCATTCAGCGCTTACACAGCCTTGGGATATCTATCATTTGGCAGTTCCTGTAAGGTTACTGGATAAATTAAGGTTGGCTATTTGAAAACCTTATGCTGCTCCTCTGTAACCTCATAATGCAATGCTGAGATTAGTTCTTTAAATTCCTCTGTCTGAATCTGAATATCTCTATGATCTGTTTTAATAAGTTTTTCTAAAACTTTAATCTTGGCACTCATATTAACCAAATTTTTAAATAATAAAACAAAAAATGATCAAACAGATAATATTTATAATTGACATTATGTAAATCCCATCAACATTATCCTCAACATTAATTATCCTCTCATCTAATTGTTCCATTTTCAAACTGTGCATCATGTAGTCATACAAAGACCTAACTCTTTCCATTGTAACAATGTTTCCCATTTTTAATGTGGGAAAAAAAACACCTCTTTTTTTTTGTAAACTAATTCCCTCCTTAAGAATTCCCAATTGTCTCACCAACTCTGCATGATGACAATTTAGATGTGAGGCTGATTGCTTCTGGGTAGAACAGTAGAAGCCAGAGCAGGTTTTCAAGGCAGCTAACTAGTTTGACAGCAGCCTGAGTGAAAGCCCCCAACCTGCCAGGAGAAAAGAAGCCAAAGAGCCAGCTGTCTGCATGGGGGAATGTGTGAAAGCGGTTAACTCCTGTGGCTAAGTTTTTGTTGCAGCCTCTCTGCAGCAAATTCCCCAGGCTCAGGCTCCAAACACACCAGGATTAGCTGCTTTTGCATGTTCCCCCATGCAGACTGCTGGCTCATTGGCTTCTTCCCTCTCCCAGGGCGTCATAGCTTTCTCTGGGACTCCTCCTTGGGCTGCTGCCACAATGTCAACTGAATCACTGTCAGCAGACTTGGTGAGTCAATTGGGATTAGTTAAAAGAAAGTTTTTTTCCACATTAAAAATGGGAAACATTTTTACAATGGAAGGAATTTAGTCTCTGTTTGTCTATACATTAAACAGTCTGAAAATGGAACAATTAAATGAAAGGATAATTAATGTTGGTGGGATAGATGTAATGTCAATTATAATATTATTTGTTTGATCATTTTTGTTTTATCATTAAAAATGTTGGTTAATAAGACAGCCAAACTTAAAGTTTTAGAAAAAAATTGTTAAAACAGATCATAGAGATATTGAGACCCAGACAGAAGAATTTAAAGGTGAACCAATCTCAGTATTGCATTATGTGGTTACAGAGAAATAGCCTAAGGCTTTCAAACAGTCAACCTTAATTTATCCAGTAACCTTACAGGAACTGGCAAATGCTCAAGGCTATATAAGAGCTGACTGGACTCCTATGCAAATGTTAGATTTGAGGAGATTCAAAGAAGCTATAGTGTCATATGGTATGCATTCACCTTTTGTGAAGCAGATGTTAAACTCGTGGTCAAGTTGTAATAAAATTATCCCTCAAGACTAGAGATATTTGGTTACAGCTGTCTTAGAAGCTGGTCCCCAGTTACAATGGAGAACCTGTGGAAGGATGAGGCTAAGACCATTGAACAACGAAGTAGGGCTAGAGGTATGGAAATCTCCCAAGACTAACTTTTTGGAGAGGGAGATTATGCTAATGTATATAGGTAATCTCTATATGATGACTACACCCTGGCTTTATGCTGAATGGCAGCCTTGAATGCTTGGGACAGAATTGAAGAAGTAGGAAAGAAAATTGAGTCATTTACAAAAGTTATGCAGAGCCCAGAAGAAACTTTCATTGATTTCTTACAAAGATTGACTTTAGCAATAAATAGAATGATACCAAATTCAGAAGCTAGACAGATAATAATTGAATTTCTGGCTTTTGAAAATGCTAATGCACAATGCAAAAGGGTAATTAGGCTTTTAAAGGCAAGATCAGCACCCTTGGAGGAATGGATCTGAGATATAGTCAATACTGAATCTCATAACCATGATAATACTTGACTAGGAGAGGTGATTTCCAGAGGATTGAAGAAAATATGTCAGATGTTTCAAATGTGGTAAACAAGGTCACCTAAAAAAAGACTGTAAACAGGGCATTCCTAGAAACAATGTTTTTTCAAGGAATATCCCAACAGAATGCCCTTCCGGTCTGGATTATGCAGAAGGTATGGCAAAGGCAGGCATTGGACTAATGAACGTAGATCTGCAAGGGACAGATAAGGTAATCCTTTGCCTTTGCCCTTGGGAAACTCCCTGATGGGCCTCTTGCAGGCCCCCATGACAAATTTGGTTCAGTCCTTTCCTGCCATCATAGAAGAAACTCCTTCCCAAAGCAATTAAAGAAACTAATGCCTGTTGTAAAAAACCATACTGCTCAGGGTGATAGAACAGCTACAGAAAAGAGAACAAAAATTTAAGGAGAAATCATAAATTAGAATTGATAAAGATTAGTAGATTTGGAACCTCCCCAAAGTTAGGGTTGGGGAACGGTTTTGTTTTTGTCTTTCAGGAGAATGAAGATTAAGGAATCTGAAGAACACCGGATAAATGAGATATCTGAAGAAAAAGGACAAATCATCCAGAAAAAAAATGTCTCAAGAGAAAGAGTAAATTGGCCTATTGATGTATCACATATCTAACAGGATAAAATCTCATAAGTCTTTCTAAATGTTTGTTTCTACTGTTATCTACAGACACATAATACAAATGGTCTTTATGTAGTACCAATTCAACTAAAAATTAAGGCTGGCTTTGGAGTTGGAGCATAGCTCTCTCCTTCTCTAAACCCAAGCATGCTTGGTAAAAGAAAATGCGAAATCTCTGTATCATTTCAGAAGAGCCACTTGATAAGGGACAGAAGAAAAACCAAAATTAAGGGACTATTCTATCACCACTAACTACATAATTCTTTGGTTTTATTTTGACTCTTTAAAACTTTTCTTAAGGTATAAAATTTATGTCAAAATTTATAAGATTAATATATATATATATATATTAAAATTTTGTCATGATATTAATGGTTATATAGAGTACTAACTAATTCTAGAAAAAGGGCTTCATTCCTGTACATGATTTTGGGTTTGAGTATTTATCAGTTTTCTGCAGTGAACCATGACCATGCCTAACAGTGACTTTGAAGTCTCCAAAAAGATGATGGTGCTCCACAATGATGATGATTCCATCAGGACGATGATAATACCACTAAGCTGACAAACACCACCCAAAGATCGGCTTTGGACTACAAACTGCTCAGGACAATTTCAAGGTGGCTAGCTGAGATGATCCAGCCTCAGAGACTACTCTAGCCAGGACTTGAGACAAGCCCTGCATTTTCCCATTATGCAGAGACTGGACAACAATTGATACAGCTACCTCTCCCAGGACTTGACAATTAATCCAAACTTTTCTTTTCAGGATCCCCTAAAGATGCCATTGCCCTCAGACAGCAGGAAGTAATTTTAAAAACAAGATGCCCACATTCCCAAGGGGTAAGGTGGGTAGTTCCCGTTCATTCAATGGGTTATGGATAATTGTCATTGTTTTGGATGATTGGTTACAAGTTGTTAATTGATAATGGCCAAAAAAAAAAAAAAAAGAAAAAAAGAAAAAAAGGTTAAACAAAGGAGATTAGATTTAGGATTCTTGTTTGAAAAAGAAGAAAAAAAGAGGATATAGTTACAAGATAAAAGGTAGATTATTGAATCTACTCTGAAAAAAGATAGAATATGGATATGATAAAAGGTAGATTATTGAATCTACTTTTAGAAAGCAACTACTAATTTTAAATATTTTATATTGAATTGAATTTTTGTATATTGATACAAATTTGAGATTAATTTTGTTAGGAAATACTGTACATATATTTCTAATCTTGTTCAAGGTATTGTACCTATACAGCTCATTTAACAATGTAATGCAAATTGCTAGTACTTGAAAGCTATTATTAACAACTAATTAGGACATAAAGAAATGCCGGTTAGTATTTAGTCACCTATTACAATGGAACTTGTCAGGTTAGGTATGTTTTCAAAGTCAAATAGAAATATATTTTAGATAAACAGGTCATTTTCAAACACTTCAGAGATCTACAGTATATGGCATTTAAGAATGAAGCCTAAGCCCACAAAATGCACAAGGTATGTGAATATTCTAGAAGCCAGTCCAGGTTGTTATATAAGCAGTAAACAGTTGCTAGTGCTGCAGTTTCCTGAAAGCTGCTCAAGGAGCATCAGTGATATGTGCTCAGGGCTTCATGTATCTTTGAGTTACTCATGCTCCTGTAACTCCTTACCCACATGCTATAAACATGCTCATTGTTTCATCAATCTTGACTTAGATCTCATCAGCAATTTGGTCTGTCATTGCACTGTCTATCTGGGATGAACTACATACTACTGTAGTCTTCCAAGAAGATTCCCACAACAACCTTGCACCTTGTTCCATTTTCAACACAGAATGCTGCAATCTCCATGTTAAGGTTGTGTCACAGTGCCAGGACCTCAGAACTGCATCATGGTCACAGCTCCCTTTAGATAGTCCTGTTTGATGCCCCTGCTGGTCAAGTCCAGCCTTTCTCTTGCCTTAGCCTAGATGATCTGGCTAAGATGATCTGGTCCATTCTCTAGAAATGTATTTTAGGTGAAGGCAGTGGTGGGCTGGTAGCAAATAAACTCAGAGATGGACAAGAAACTTGGAAGTTTCTACCTCCTCTCCATCTTTTATGTTGAAGTCCTTTTATAATCTGCTGAGTGGATATACTACTTGCATTCTTTGGTGGCAGAGACACGTGGCCTAGCTTTCTGAGAAACTGGTTCAATCTTGAGTTGTTGTTGATTTCTTCCTATGATCTATGTTAATCAGACTGGCCATCACTGTGATAAACACCTTAATATTTCTCTTAGCTCCTGGATTCAGAGGCTTCAATAAATATTCCTTGGATCCATTGACTCTGAGCCTGTGGTGAGGCAGGGCATCTGGACAGGAGGAATGTCTGACTGAGGCTGCTCACTTTGTGACAGATAGGAAGCAAAGAGAGAAGCAAAGACCCCAGAGTTATGTTCCCAGTGACCTATTTCTACCAGTCCCACCATTTAAAGCCTCCCTCACTCCCTAAGTCGTCATCACCAGCTGGAGACCAAGTGTTTACACTGAGCCTAGTGGGCAATACATGCTCAGTCCGCAACAATTTCACCCATGCCCCAGCCCACTGCTCTTTAGTTTATGCTGCAAGTCACAATAGAGAGTGTGTTTGGGATTCACTAAGTTCACTACAGTGTCCCATGTGCCTCTGAACTTCTTTTTAAAAATATTTGTAGGAGCATGTATTATTATACACAATCATAAGTTTTATTACAACATTTCCACACATGTGCACATGCACTTCAATCATCTCCACCCTCCTATCATCTTCTTCTTCCCCTCCCATCCCTTCTCACTCCTCTTGATATCTTTCTTCCTCCTAACTGGTTCTTCTTTGACTTTTATGGTGTGTGTGTGTGTGTGTGTGTGTGTGTGTGTGTGTGTGTGTCTCCCAGTACGTTTTATTAGGATTACTTCTAGGAGCATGGGGAAATGTTTGTTCTAGGAGCATGGGCACATTACTAGTGGCTACACGGCTGAACAAACTGTCTCTTGGTCCCTCATTAACCTTTAACTGCATATAAATCCTCTGGGAGAGGTGGGACCCCTTGAGCTCCTCCCTACTCCATGAAATCTAGTACAGGTAATTAATTACTAGTTACCGTGAGTTTAAGAGTGCAACAGCCATCTCATATCCTGAAATCACATTCCACACCCCACCTCTTATGTTCTTTCTGTCCCTTCTTCCATAATATTTTCTGAACCTCTGAGGGGGTGGTAGAAATGTCCTATTTATGGAGCATTCCACAATCACTAATTCTAAGCACATTGACCAGCTGTGAATCTCTGCAGTTACCACTGACAACCGCATATGATGCTTTTCTGCCTTTCTTTCTCCCAGTCCCCCTATGCTACTTCAAGGAAGATTAATATCCTGTTCACAGCTCCTTTTAGTGTCTGAGACATAGCAAGCATCCTGTAAATCTCAACCAAATGAATTGATAAATGAATGAAGTCAATCAAACTGTGCCATTCTCTTCAGTTACCTTCTCCATGTTGGCCCAGTGATCTATCACATCACTAGCGAAGTTGGACTTGGCAGGTACTTCTTGGTGGCCCCACTGTATGGACATTTGTTTCTTGATATTAATATGGAATGTACGGCTGAACATTCCAGTACCCCAGTGGGCACAATATCTTGGAATTTTCCACAGCCAATGCATGATCAGAGCTGTGAAGAAAGGAGGTGATGTAGGTGAGCTCTTTCCTACTAGATTGTGATACTCACCATCAGCTAGTGAAGAGAGTTGTTTCCAACCACTAGGGTTGATTGGTTGCACTTGTGAGCGGATTTAATTGACACTGAGTCCCTGGTTCAGTCTCCTTCTGTGCATCATTCTCCTAAAGCACCCCCTCCAGCTCCTGCAGCAGTTCTGTGGGTTTCTAATCCCAGGTGACATACCATTTTAGCTTAAAGTACGAGTGGTGAATTGTTTTGTGGCTCCCATTAATCTGTTTTCTTCCTGTAGTAGGATTATATCACTCTACTCATTGCCACGTGACTTCTCAGTGCAGTGTAGAGGGAGAACCCATATTCCTCTCTTGTTGACTTTGACTGGCTAGTGAGATATGCTCTGGTTAATAGGGTGAGTATGGGTTGGTCAGATTTGCATTTCTACCTCCACTGTGTGTGTGTGTGTGTGTGTGTGTGTGTGTGTGTGTGTGTGTGTGTGCCCGCACGCGCGTGCACACGTTTGTGCACTGTATGAATATGCATGCATGGGTGTGCACATGAGCATGCCTGTGAGTGCATGCAGAAGTCAGAGAATGACATTGAGTAACTTTCTCTATGTCTTATTCCCCTGTGACAGGGCATCTAAGTGGCTCTAGAACCTGCCATTTCTCAGGTAGGCTTGCTGGCCAGGGAGCCCCAGTGATCCTTTTATCTCTTAACCTCCCCCCCCCACTGTCCCCAGCACTGAGCTCACACAGACACACACAGTTTTTTACATACATGCTGGGCTTCTGAACTCATGTTCTCATGATATTGCTGTATGTGTTCTTACCTACTCTGCCATCTCCCTACCACCATTTCTGGGGCTTTCCATGAGAACTACATGTGCCTCACATGAGCACCAACCTTCTTCCTGGGTCCTAGAATGATGACATAAGGAACTAAGCTAAGCCCAGTGTGGCCACTTCCAACCTTCAGTTATTTCTCAACTAAGTTTTGTAGGCACATCCTAGATCTGTATTTAGAAGGGAATATGTGTATGTTTGAAAGCTATGAAATGCTTGGGATACTTGCTAATGCATCAACTGTTGACTAATACACTTGTTCATTGGAATTAGTTTGGAGTGGCATATCTGAAAAACTATGCATGTACAGTGCAGGATCTAATGTAAACAGCAACTTACAGAATTATAGCCCTGTTATTACTGCTTTCAGCTTTATTAGCTCCAGGGAAAGGTGTTCCAAGGCTATATACACTGGTCTTTGAATTCTGTCATGTGCCCTTGGATGAGACTGCAGAATTTTAAGCCTAATGACCTTTGAGTCAGATGATCCAGCCAACAGTCTATCCTCTTGGCTGGATTCCCAGCCCCTTGGTCTAGGCAGAGGCCATTAGAATGCTCATCTGTGGCACTTACATGTTCTCTCCTGCTTTCTTCAAAGAAGAGGTAAGGATTTCCTTCCCAGGCCTGGCCAGCAATACCTAGTGCCTTCGTGGTTGCTGCTCTCTCCCTTTTGGTGGCTGACTCCTCCTTATCTTCTGGCCTCACCTCTTCAAATAAGCATATTCTCCTTCAACTCCAGTAACTGACAGCTTCTGTCTACACCCCTGGCCAGCTCTCTAGTCCTCCACTTTTAGTTGGCCAAAGGCTTCTTCCCTCTATCCAATGTTGTCCCCCCAGTAGGACCCTGTGACATTTCCTTTGTGGCTCCTAGGAGTTTTAAGATGACTTCCATTTGGGAGTTTTCACTCTCCTTGCTAGCTATTACTCCTTAGGACTGGTGAGGGTCATCATGATGCATGCCCCCACCCCTTCTATATCTTGCGTGAACACTCACCTGCCAAGCCTCTTCTGGAACTCTCTCTGGAGGCAGCTTGGTCTACTTCCCTCTTGGGAGGTAGTTCCAGAGCTCCTGTAGCCCTGGAGAAGAAAACAGCACTGAAGTGGACAGTTCCCAGATCAAAACCAAGTAGGTTCTGAGGGCTCAGCTAATCATTAATGGTGCATAACTCTGGGTCAATGCTACTCCTCCCAGTCAAGTTTATGTGCAGCACAGTCATTGAGTCTGTGGAGGGGGTTCACCTGGACCGGCTCATTAACCCAAGGTATCAAAATGGGGTTTATTCCTACGATTGACAGCAAGCTTTTTCTCCAACCAGGGGAAGAGAATGGAGTTTCAGAGGCTCTAGGTACTGTCTCACTGACTTTCATCTTCTCATTTGTTTGGCTTCCACCAAGGGTCTCTTTTCCTGTTCTGTCTGCGACACTTGCTCATTCAGTGTCACAGCTTGGATCCAGGCCTCTTGCCAATGACCCCACAAGTGTGTCTCTTGGCTAGATCTCTCTCCTGGGTGTTCATCTGTTTGATGATGTCCCTACTTGGATATCTAACAGGTTTTTAAGAGTGGATTCAGATAGTGCCAGGCCTTCTAGCTCTAAACCATCCAATGCATCTGTGGCCTTTACCTGAAGATGGTCACCCTATTGTTCCCACTCGCCCTGTATGAAATCTCAGGCTTCCAACCCTTTATGCCTTGATGTGGTGAATCTACTAGTTCTGCCTTCCAGCTGTGACTGCAATCTGTCTCACTCTCTTCAGTGTTCCAAACCACCATTTTTCTATCTGCTTTAGGGCTACTGTTATTGTGATGAAACACCATAACCAAATGCAAGTTGGGGAGAAAAAGGTTTATTTGGCTTAGACTTCCACATTGTTGTCCATCATCGAAGAAAGCAGGACAGGAACTCAAACAGGGCAGGTACCTGGAAGCAGGAGCTGAGGCAGAGGTCATGGAGGAATGCTGTTTACTGACTTGCTCACATGGCTTGCTCAGCCTGCTTTCTTATAGAACCCAGGACCACCTGCCCAGGGATGGCACCACCCACAATGGGCTGGGCCCTTCCCCATCAATCACTAATTAAGAAAACGCCTTATAGGTGGATATTATGGAGGCATGTTGTCAATTGAGGTTCCATCCTTTCAGTTAATCTAGTTTGTGTCAAGTTGGCATAAAACTGGCTAGTGTACTATCCATAGGAGCATTTTTGTGGTTTCCCCCCCTTTCGTCTTATCTCCACCCTGGACCCTTGAAGTCTGTTCTCAGAATGAGCCTGACTTAACTCAATCAGATCATGGAGTATTCTGAGTAAAATACCAGGTCTTTGCTTGCTGTTGTCTACAAGGTCATCATTACCTCCTGCTTCCCCAGTCCGGTCAATGGGCCTCTTTGTCATCCTGTCTCCATGCCAGACACACTCCCTGACATTCAGACGACCAGTTCACCTGCTAGCATCACATTCTTTCTGAAAGTCATCTGTGCTGGTTAGTTTTTGCCAACTTGACACAAGTTAGATTAATCTGGGAAGGGGTGACCTTAGTTGAAAAAAAAATACATCCATCATATTGGCCTGTAGGCAAGTCTGTGCAGCATTCTCTTGATTAATGATTGATTTGGGAGGGCCCAACCCACTGTATGGGGTGTGACCATAGGGTGGGTGGTCCTGGATTGTAGCTATTACTTATAACGTATTACTTATACAAACATATACTATGTATAAATATATAAATAAATATACACCTTATAACTACACACACACACACACACACACACACACACACACACACACACACACACACTTCACAATTTCCTGAGCAAGCCATGGGACTGAGCCAGTAAGCAGTGGTCTTCTGTGGCCTCTGCTTCAGTTTCAGCCTCCAGGTCCTTTCTGTAAGTTCCTGAACTGGCTTCCCTGCACGATGGACTGTAAAATGTAAGATGAAATGAATCCTCTCCTCCTCCAGTTTCTTTTGGTCATGGTGTTCATCACAGCAATAGAAAGCAAATGACAACATTCATGCTTTTGTTTTTGTTTAGATGTATGTACACACACGCCTTAGCATCCTTTCATCCTTTCTGACAGTTTATAAGTACATACACCATGTTGTGATCATACTCACCCCTTGCCCTCTCCATGCCCCCTACAGCTGCTGACTGCCTTCTGCCCTACAAGTCCACTCCTTTCACATCTTTTTTTGGAGGGGGTGGGGCTTTGTTTTGACCCACTCAGTTTAATTAGGGTTTCTTGTATGGGCATGGACAGGGAAGAATATACTGGAGCAGGAGCAACGCACCAATGTCTCACTGCTGAAGAAAATGACACGTAGCTTTAGAAGCCAGACTCCACCAGTCATGTGGCACTCTTCCCCCCAGCTCTAGAAGTCCTCCGGAGTGATGACCATCGCTGTACCCCATCACTCCCTGAGAACTTACTCTATGCCTGGCAACATTTACCTAGGTTTCTCCAGCCTTTCCTGAGTTCCACCACATGGTTATGATTATATAAAGTCTAACTTTACACCATCTGTGCAATTGGTCAACCCATTTTAAAAAATAACTTCACGTTAGTTGATATAGTACTCTTGAAAAGACAAGTCGGGAATGATGTCATCTTCCTTTTAATGCACATCAAAATAACAATAAATGTGAGACTGCATGCCTAAAACAAAGTCACCTTGCAAGCTCACCATGTCCATACCCACAGTCTAACTCCATCCTAGTGCTCTGAGAGCAAAGCAACCTGAGGAAGGAGAAGAGGAAATGAAACAAGGGAAACCCAACTTCAGAAGGAATGATTTGGGTTTACTGATGGTTTGAGGAGCACAGTTCTTCATGGTGGGGAAAGCAGGTAGCAGGAGCATGTTGCAGCTGGTCCCATTGTGTGCAGTCAGGGAACAGAGATGGACAAATGCAGGTGTTCATGCTGCCTCCTCTTTTATTGATAAGCTGGATCATACCCTGAGGTGTGTAGTTAATTCCAAATCCTCTCAAGTTGGAAATAAAGATATCTCTCTCTCTCTCTCTCTCTCTCTCTCTCTCTCTCTCTCTCTCTCTCTCTCTCTCACACACACACACACACACACACACACACACACAAACTCACATAAGCAATCGCACACACACAGATATGTTCACTCATACACAGAGCCAGACATTCAGACATTCATAACAGTTGCGCACACAAACATGCAAGGCACATTCATACATATGCAGAAGCAGTCATCTATGTAGTTATACACTTCAGCCAGTCACACGCAGTATACTATCACAATGTTTTCTTTTCTTCACAGTGCTGATCTATATAATCAGGTATACACTGAATTCTCTGACATAGAGTCTATCTTAAGTTCTTTAGCTAACTCAACAAACAAGAAGACAAACATTTCTGTCTTAACAAAGCTTAAGTCCTAGGGGAAAGAGATAGAAGCAAAAACATGTTTAAAATTAAGTTCTATAAAGTTAAACGTGATTAGGATTAAGGAGCATGGAGTCTGGTAACAGAGAGGAAGGGAGGGAAGGAGAACCAGTCTGGAGGCGGCTTGCAATCCTGAGGAGCTAGGTGGTTAAGCTAAGCTTCACTGAGATGACTGAGATGGTGACAATAAATCTGCCAAAGATCTGAAAGATTAGAGGAAGATACTCAAGCAGAAGTCTGGAGAAAAGCAATCTAATGAGAGAGTCCTTTGTGCAAAGGCTGGGCAAGGTGTGCCTTCAGGGAGTAGGAAGAAACAAGATTGAACCAGTTTCTCAGAAGCTAGGCCACATGTCTCTGCCACCAAAGAGTGCAAGTAAGATATCCAATCAGCAGAGCATAAAAAGGCTTCAGCATAAAAGATGGAATCTTCTAGAAGCCAGTCCAGGTTGTTATATAAGCAGTGACCAGTTGCTAGTGCTGCAGTTTTCTGAAAGTTGCTCAAGGAGCATCAGTGATGTGTGCTCAGGGCTTCATGTATCCTTGAGTTACTCATGCTGCTGTAACTCCTTACCCACATGCTATCAATAACCCTCCGAACATGCTCATTGTTTCATCAATCTTGACTTAGATCCTATTAGCTCCTTGGTCTGTCATCGGTGCCAGGCAGCCCTTAGCCTTGGTTAAGTGGCCACACTGCCTGCGAGGCAGAGGCAAATAAGGTATCAGTAGGCACCGAGAAAGGGCAAACAGGGAGAAAGCAGGGCATAGACGGAGAACTCAGAGAGATGGTCACATAGGTCTTAGCTCTGTCTTTCATATGCCTGGGGCACAAGGGTTGATGTCTTCAAAGCTCACCTTCTTGTTTATCCAGAGGAGATAATAGGAACCCCTATTTACCCCCCTTTGCTCTCCAGAGCCCTCTGACAACTTTCAGTTTTCTGGAGTTCATTCTTGTGCCATCCTGTTTCCAGTGACCACGAGAAGTTCAGAGTGACCGAAGCCCCTGGATGTGCTTTCTAGCCTTTGAGGACCACTAACCATTCAGGCCTCAGTTTCTCCATCTGTTGGAGAGGTTAACAGTAACATCTCCAAGTTGGTGCGAAGGCTTGTTGGGATGATTCTTACTGAGCATTGTAAAGAAAATAGCTGGAAGCTCCGTTGCTGCTGTTTGACTCGTTTATAAGAACAGAAACACAAAGGTAGGGCCAGGGGATGGCTCAGCGGGTAGACGTACTTGGCATACACACCTGAGATGTGATAGCATGCATGTGTAATCCCAGCACTCCTAAGACAATGTGAGGCAGAGACAGCCTGGAAGCTTGCAGGACCAGGCAGCCTGGAGTATGCTCCACAGCAGCAGAAACAAGAGAGACCCTGCTCAACAAGGCACAAGACCCGATGCCTGCAAGCTGTCCTCAGACTTTCATTCCCATCCTGTGGTGTGTGGGTACCAGCCAGCCCTGAAGGTGTCTATCTTCCTTCTTCTAGACTTCCATAACAGATATTCCTGATTGCCTCAGAATCACGCAGCCATGAGCACCAATGTGCTCTTCTGGGAAGTCCTCTATATTGACTTGAAGTCCCTTTTGTCACTGTTTCTCAGGGTCGCTCACCATCTGCCCACTGTGAGCCTTCAGAACATCAAGAATGTGGAGTCCTCCACCCTCTGTCCTTTTCATCCCTGTTCCCCTGTGTCTAGGGTGGAAA